TTAAACTAAATGTTTAGCCTGTTTTATACAAATAAGAGATAAAAATAAGAGAGAAATCCATTGAAGAAATCAAGGCAGTTGTTTGCTATGTACAATTCTGAAATTCAGTTCGTTTGATTTGGGTTATTTCGATCTTATTTTTTTCACACGTACAGGCAATTAATTTACCGAAAATAAATGTCCCTGAAGACTTCTTCTTAATGTTGCGACCTTTATATTGTAACGTATTATTATATTTATTGCAATGTGTTAATTGCGATATAACAGATCGGCCACAATGAAAATTTTCGAGGAGTATCGCTTTAAGAGGATCAATGATCGTGATTTCCGAGGTGAAAAATGGTGTGAAGTTTCAAACAATCACTCCTACAAGACGAATCTTTTCTCACTCGGAAAGTAGTGACCTGCGGTCCTTTTTCTTTCCAAGCCACCGCAATAAAGTCCGCGCCAGAAGTAAAACTCGTTCGCAGCACGATCCCTGAGAAAGCAGAAAACGGAATTCCGCTACTAATCATCGGTCCCTTGACTTGCCGCTTCGGAAAAAAAATTTTACGACAATTAACCCTGAGTTGCAACAACGAAGCGCTCACGTGTTTTATATAACTCTTTTGTACAAGGGCGCTTTTTTCCAATGTGGCCATGTCGTTTTCCCGAAACATATACTTTTTTACGATCGCGTGACTTTTTTGCGTTACGTTTGTATTTACGCAGGTGAAAATTCTCTTCTTTCCTCTTCCTCACGTTTCCACTGATACGGCTCGAAGCTTGACGATAAGCTTTTCTCGTAAATATTTATCATAACAACAAAATTCAATTCGTCAGCCAGTCGAGTTAAGATGAAAAATGTGCTCTTAAAGTTCGGTTACTTACCTCTGCGCGGAAAAAAAATTTATTTCGCGTAACTGAATTTCGGTCCTGACAACTGACACTTTCTATTATCTGGGGACGAAATGAAAACTCGATTGTAGAAACAGAAAAAATTCCTACAGAATGCTTTCGCCGCTCGAACAATTGAGAACTCGGTTATCTTAACTAGACAAAAATATTATTTTTTTCCTAGTGGGACTTGAAGAACCTGAAACTTCTCGGTCCCGAGACTATCGTTTTAGACTGCAGAACCATTAACGCTGCTGGTATGTCGTATCCAACGGCAGCATAGTCGCATTAACGCATTTGGAAGGAAAAATTTCGGTTCCCCGAACCGAAAGCATTTGTTGATGTAAACAGCTAATGAAAGAAGGCTATATGTTACTGTGATCGAAACTCAATTAACCTTTAGCTGACACACGTCAAAATAATAACGTACGTGCTATAGGGGGTATTTTGGACCCCAGCGAGAAAAAATGTGTATAATTGTTTTATTTATCAATATTTTTATTTGCAAATTTTTATATATATTTTTTGAAGTCTCTGTTAAAGGATTAAACTGCTTATGAAGCCCAAAATTATTTTTAAGATATTGAAAAAAAATAAAATGTATGAAAAAATATGAAAATTAACACCTTTTACTAAAAAACTCGTAATTTTTTTTTATATTAATATTTTTCAATAAAATTTTAACAGTACACTTGTGAAATACTACTCTTTAAAGTAGAATTAATTCCAAATACCGATTTTCCAAAAAGTATATTTATTTTGAGAAAAAACTAGCGAAAAATGGGTGAAAAAATGAAACACGTATGCTGGTTGTTAATCGCTATTTAATATTTGAAAAAATCATTAAAAAATTATTTATGACAATAATTACACGGAAAAAAAGTTGCATTATAGTATATAATAAAAAATATGTAATATCATATTAAAAAAAATTATTGACAGCCTGTACATTCAACGCATATATACAAACGGTGTTCATCACACATCGGACGTAAACAAGAAGGACACTGTATTTTGGTCTTTTTGTCTGCTTGCCGCGTGCATACTTTGCATCTGGTTTTGTGATCTAATACTGGTCTTTCGTCTTCAATGACATTCGGTTCATCCAAATTTAAAATAGTTTTAATGCCCATGCGAAGCGATGGATTATTTAGTCACGCACCGACGGATTATTTAGTCGTGTACGCAACAGAGGCGTCACCAGATGAACTGCCAAACTTTTTAAGCAATCGTTTGCTCTCATACGATCTGTTCTTTGAACATTTATTAAAGCACATTTTAATAAAATTCGCGCATTTACAGCTGCTTGATCCAGTATGCCATAGAAATACCTCACTGGCCAGCGGTTTGTCCTCTTAATGTACGTATGACAGAGCTGATCAAATGTATCTGTTCCGCCTTTTGTTGCATTATAATGCAAGATAATATTGGGCTTCTGTTATTTCTGTAGTTTTCATAAATGTTGATGCAACCAATACTATCTTATTTTTTTTCGGTGTATGGGATAGCAAATAATCGAATAAAAAATATTTTTTTCGCACTTTTATCGATACTTACGATTTATTTTACAATAAGATACTAATAAAACTGCCAATTTTTTTTCACAAATTTTCACTAAAATCAACGCTATTGGCACACCGAGGTACTTTGAACCCCAACTGATTTTTAACGTGCTTTCTACGGCAGATGAAGCTTGACTAAACTACCGTTATAGCAAAAACACCTTGGGTCAAGCCTCGACTAATACTAGGTGACGCCACAGAACCAAATTTGGCGCGCAACTATGAAAAATTTGCCTTCAAAAACACTCTGGGGTACTTTTAACCCCGTGTGTCAGCTAAGGGTTAAAAATGAATATTTTCGGTTGCCATAATCGTTTTATTCGTGTGAAACAGCTTTGCACGTTGATCGAATGATTATGATTTGCGCATGGATTTTCTTCTTTTGTAAGCAAATCGTAATTTTCGCAACTGTTGTTGTGTACGGGATTTAAACGTTCACTTCACTTCTTCGAGATTTATTCCGGGACTTATTTACGCCATAAAATATGAGAAAATAATCTATGGGAAAAAAGCGCTCGAATTGCGTCCAATGAATAGCAATATAAAAGGAATAGACGAGATGCAGAAAGATTGTATAAGTTCCAAGCTCTTACGCAATGTTTATTTATTCTCTTTCTTTGCATTGCTTTGATATGGTGTTCATACGCATCAATTAATTTCTCATGTACATCTGGTTCGATTTCATTAATCATGTACTATTGATGCAATCATAAAATTTTCATATACATACCAAGCCATTAATTGATATGATTATAAGGATCCGTGTGATCTTTCGAAGGTGAACAATCGGGACAGCTTGCGGTCATATTATTAACAGATTTGTAATACAGTTGTATTGATTAAGAGATGATCACATCTTACTGTGAGAATATTACCTAGCAATAGTAATCATAATAAATACATTCAATGTTATAGAAAGTAATTAACATAATTTTTATAACGAAATACATAATAGTTTTAAAGAAATTTACTTCTTATAACCAAAAGTTTTATTTCCTTCAAGCAAAACGCGCTTGGTTGTCCATTATCGGATCCATATCCAACCAAACACATTTTTCAGTTTAAAATATGTAAAGGGATGTAAAGGTGTGTACAGATATATTTAATACCAAAATTTATATATGTATGAACAACGTCATTTACTGTATTCAGAAAAAGTAAAGCTATATATGAAATTCTTTTATGACAATTGCGCTGTTAATGTACATTTCGAAACTTTTCACGAATCGTGTCCATAGTTTGCAAACACTCGATTCCGTGACCTCTTCGAATAGTTATTTACGTACACGAAATGCCATATGCACTATGACATTTATAACTATGGTTATTAGTACGATTTTCAACATCATATATACACTAATTGGTAGACACTTGACATTCATTGCAAGTGGATTGTTAAATTTTCTATCCGCACGCATTATTGATTTTTTTCGAAGTTTTTAATGTCAATCGAATGTTTTATGAAAATTGATACAGTCCGTCCTGAGATCTCATCATTTAATTCGTAAGAATTGCAAGAAAGAATTGAAATTAAGTACACACGTTATCAATTTCCAGTGCGTTTTCAGTTGCCGCTTATGCAGCTTAACGTTAAATTAACGTTATTTATTGCATATCATAATTAAGTCATTAAATTAATTTTTTCATTAATTAAGAAACGCTTAAATAATATAGGATTACAATTAAACTAATTACAATTTATTAAACAGGATCATTAGGTAATAATAAGTTAATGAATTAAACGATTCATCATCATTTAAATTTTTCATTGAATAATAAATGAAATAAATAATGTATGAAAAATCTATTAAATAACGTTTTAAATTAAACAGGAGTGTGTGTAGTGAAGATTCAATTGAACATTTATTTTCAAAATTAAAGCATTGCGATGGATTTAACTCCATTTCTATTGTAATAATTGTCCGATTTTTTCTTCCATGTTATGCATAGGATATATCCACATAAGCGATAGAGGCAATGTCCAGTGCCTAGAAGCCGAGTGTCTTATTAATTACGTCTTATCACTTGTTCACTTTTTCATACGATTTTCCTTACGCGCGTAGAACTGACGAAAAGAAATAAAATATATCTTGCGTTCTCCAAGCGATATCCAACACTGTGTTATGATTCGTCGTGTTCTGGATACATTCAATGCCCTAGAAAGTTGTATCTCGCTAAAAATACAATATAATATAAAAATAAATACATAATTAAAAAAATGTTTATACTGTAAATATTACAAGTGCTACAAGTGCATCACAACATTTAACATCTATTATTTGTTACTAATAAAAAAACAGGTCCTGCGCCAAATATATATATATATATATATATATATATATATATATATATATGCATAATAATCTCACGAGATCATATACAAGAGACGCGTATCCTCTACAGGAACGAAAACATTTTCCTCGGACGTAACTTTCAAATATACTAGTTTTATCGTAAGACATGAACATCCAAGAAAAAAATAAGTTTGTCCCTACAGATTGATTCTGGTAAACAAGTGTTAGGACGTAAACGGATATGACCGCGTCATTATCGTTTAAGAGTTCATACTCGTTCGGTTATGTCGTTCTTGTAAGGTTGAAACAACTTGGGCGGCTCGAGCTTGGTCGTCTGCGCGGTCGAGGAGACTGGCGCGCTGTTGTACATGTTGCCTCTCTTCTCGAAAGTGCTCGGCGCATCGGCCAGACTCTGGGCTATCGGGAGTCTCATCGTTTGAATCTCCTCGTCGTCCCGCGTGTCCATCAGCTGCTGTTGCTGTTGCACCGCGCCTATGCCGGCGCAGGTTTGAGACGTGCGATGCTGTTGCTGTCCGTAATCGCAGTCGCTGGACGCGTCCGAGTTGGCCGGGCTGAGGTCCCGCAGCGCGGTATGCCGGTACGCCGTTGCGGACGACGGCGGCGGATTGCCGACGAGGAAGGCCGGCGGATTGCTAATCGTCGGCAGGCCCAGTCCGTTGTGAAGCGAACCAGGCGCGAGATGAGCGTGAGGATGCAGCAACGGCGGATGACCGGCGAAATCGGCGATGGCGCGTGGATGAGGCCTGTGCAGAGCGGATGCACCGGGCGCCGGGCCACCGTACGGCGAGTACCGCGACGCGTAGTAGGAGGCAGCCGCCGCGGCCGCGGCCACCGGGTGCACCATCTGCGACGGCGGTAGATGCGCCGGCAGGCTCGGGCTACCGTGGTAAGACACGGGCGGTAGAGACGCGGCCGCGAGCAGAGTCGCCGCGATCGCCGGATCCGTGTACATCGTGTACGGCCAAGCCAACGCCAGACGCTGCCTCTTGTCCTTCATGCGCCGATTTTGAAACCAGACCTGTCACCGGATTTTTCCCACTTTTAGAGACAATTTTTTGCATTGCGTAATTTAACGGAGGAATTTGTCTTTTGACGGGGGTCTCGCTAACTTACGCATAAAATGTAATTCGCGTAAAAAAAAAATTGCATGTATGTAGAAAAGCAGCATTGAAACAACCAATGTGGCAGTCAGTATTATCAGTCACGACGAAAGAAAATATTCGAAGCAAAAATATCGAATTAAACGTCGCGTTTAACAATTCGAGTGTAATGCAATAGAAGGTGCGCGTTTTCGTCGAGAAGTGAACGACACAATGGAAAATTCTCGGAGGAGGCGAACGATTATACCGATAATTCGTGCAGGACGTTTACCACCTCGCTTAACACCTCCCGTTAAGCGCGTTTTACGATCGCCGAGGACCGCGAGAGCTGAGACGAGAAATTAAGAGATCCATTAAAGCCGGAGGTAGGCCGTCGCTAATTCAGCCGTTTTAACACTTTTATTCGACCGGATCGACCGGTCTCCCTCCTTCTCGATTCGTGAAACTGAACCGTGACGAACCGGGAGAGGAATCGTATGTATCAACGTGTAAGAAGCTACCTTCGTGCGAGGAGGAAGAAAACGCGCATCGATAATGTCTTCGCTATATTACACTGTGTATCCTCGGTAATGTGAGGAGAAGAGAAAGATCAAAGGCGAGGATGAAAGAATCCACGCTGTTGAGTCGCTCTCAAGGCTATAATCGCTGATCAAACACGGCCGCAGCTGGCCGTGACAAGAAACAACCCACGAATGCTTCTAATTGCCTTTAAGCGCGAGAGGAGAGAAGGGGTGAGGCGGTATTCTTCGACGGAAAAGAAATTCTCAATATAAAAGATACATTTCGCATTAAATACCATTCAAAATTACTATATGGAGTTTCATAATCAAGGGATAATATATTTTGCTTTAATTTACCCTTCCGTTATTTTAACAACTGACTGTTAAATAATTTACTTCATATACTCTGCTCAGTAAGATGGACTGTTTATTCCTGCACTGTTAGGAAACATGATTAAGTTGGAGAGAATTTTACTTGAAATAATGAAATATATTGCCGGAAAAATTGCTACGTTCAAGTAAATATTCGCTAAGGAGTATCGATTTGATTTCAATTAAGTAAATATCACCCGAGCAATATTCGCTCAATCCAAATAAAATAAACTTACTCTAATATTTTATAGCAAATATATACTTGAACGATTTCTTTTTCAGTGTACGATATTCTCTTCGCGTGCTTGCGCGATGACTTTAAATATCGTGACGCGTTTGATTTCACGCACGTAAGCTGCGCGTCCAATGATTGATTGCAGATTTGCCTGATTATCGGAGCCGTAATGAAACGCAAGTGCTAACGGGACGCATGTCCCCCCTTCAAGATGAAGCCACCATTTCGCGCGCAATATAAAGGTCTTACTCGTTCTTCGACGTACGTGCCAACTCACCTTGATTGTGGATTCTGGAAGGCCCAGTATCGTCGATAACTCGCATCTTCGCGGTCGACTGACGTAACTTTCCTTTTGAAACTCTTTCTCCAACCGCGCTAATTGTTCCCTCGTAAAGGCGGTCCTGTATCTCCTGATGTTAGGATCCATCAATGGTTGCTGCGATTGCGGTTGCTGCTGGTCATTTTGTTGCGAGGATGATGTTTGCGGCAGTGGCGGCGGCGGTGGCAACGATGGTGATTGTTGTTGCTGCTGCCGCGATTCATGTTGTTGGTGATGATGAGTTGGCGACATTTCTGTGGAACAGTAATGATGTCTCGTTAGTAACGGTCGATCTTTTCTTTTTTTTTTTATTTTACAAACGGCTCTATCATGCTCACATGTTGACACATTGAATATCACACAGTGATCACCACCACTGTGGCATTAATTAATGCGTCTTATGAGACTCTAGTTGCGTTCAATAACAAATTAGCTTTACGGTCATTAAAGAGTTCCAATAAAATACGAAGTAGAAACAATATGCATGAAGATTTGCGTTTAATTTATTCCGAGTGTTTGCCAGCTGTTGTGTGAAAAATAGAACGCGAGATTGAGTTAAACAAACAAGTCTTTTTGTCGTCTTCGCGATAGTTGTTAAGAAATTAATTAATAAACGAACAAGCGCGCGTGATGCGACGGGCTTGTGATTTAAAGAAAATGTTTTGGTTTTTAGATTGAAAGCGCGAATTTCTCGTCGAATTGTTTCGTGAACATTTCAGTTCATTTCGTCAGAAAGAGGAACAACCTGACATTCCAAATTTAGTTATAATTCTGGCAATACCGAATATAGATATAGAATCTTGTATCACGCGAACGATATAAAGAACTATTAGCAAAACTGTGAAGGATTTCCCTAGTTTATTTGCGCTTCACCTAAGCATTGTTATACGGATCAGTCGACACTCTTTTTCTTTACTTGATAATTCTATTTGTCTATTTAATAATAAATAATATTTATCGATTCCTTTAAATGTATTTATTTAATTTCAAAGCTTCGAATAAATAGAAATGTGTGTGACTGCGTAAGTGAAAAGACACGCTCTTAAAGTGTGATATTCTTGCGTCGATTGACTTCCGAAGTCGATTTCGAATGAATCGATCATCGAGAGAAAAGTGTCGATTGGAAATATATTTGTCACTACGTGGATAAGTTGTCGTGTCGGCATGCAACGGAAGCAGCGAACTACAAGGGATTCACACAAGGAAGAACGTTTACGATGTGTCTCGCGCACGTTATACAGGCAATATTCGTAAAAGCAACAGCGGGTGATCCTATTTAAGAGGACGAGAGAGATCAAAGCTCGGGAAAAATTTCAGGCCTATTCTGTTCACCTGGCAAACTCCCTTCGCTTTCAATGACGGATCGTACTTCCTCTCCGTGGCCGCTCTCCTTTGTTAGCGCATAGGTGGGGCGCAAACGGGGCAAAACAAGAGAAAGAACGGTTTCAGTACGGACATATACACCTTATATATTTAGAGTACTTGTTTGCCACCGTGCCAAAATCGATTCGTACATACATAAACATCCTATCCGTGATATTGAATTGACACAGGATTTGAAACAACAAAATGCATACATTACATACTGTCGAACAATTTTATCTTATTTTCGCCGCTATTAGATTGAAATTATCACATGCAACATCTAGCTACGGCTTTTGCCAGACTATTTATCTTCGAAGTTTTTACAAAATCTTTGTTTAAGGAGCATGATAATGTTCGAACAAATAATGGAAGAATTAACTTCCGATCCGCAAAATCGAGTTCTATCCACAGAATATTCTTGAAAGAAGTATAAAACTCTCTGTCTTCCTCTTCTCTATATTAGACGGATTTTAGTTTAGTGCAACAGTAAGTACGACATAATTTTATAAAACACACTTGCGAAGTCGTATGTACGTCACGCACGGTAAAAAAAAATTTCGTGCTAAAAGCGGTCCATTTCGTGTTACTTTAACATAGGAGAAGTGTGTTAAAAAATATATAAATATATATTAAAAAGTATATAATGTTAAATTAACATATTATCCATGCTAAAATAACATTTCATTGGGCCGTTTTTAACATAAAATTTTTGAACCACGCAATATAATTCTCTCTTGTTGTTTGCCCGAATATAATAAACTCGGGCAATCTTTTAAGGAAGAAAACTTAATTAAACGGTCTAGTTATTACGGAGACATTTCACAGTGCTATTGTACATTTAGCGGCAGAAAGATGGTTACATATTTCCTTGAATAAATTTTGCGACACGTCCAATGGGGGAAATTTATTTTCCAACACAGATAATAAATTTTCTTATCGATAGCGATTTTCGAAGTCGTAATAAAAAATCTCTTCACCGCTGACTACACACATAAAATTGATGATAACGGAACAACATAATAACTATTAGAACAAAGGAAGAAGGAAACAACAGGAGCCCCGTCGTAAACTCTCTCCTTGATATGCTTGTTCAATGACAAATACAGACACGGGTGAGATCGTTTTTCCTCTCAATTTTCCCCGGTTCTCCCGGTCGTTAGTGACATTGCGTTTAGAAACGAATACGCGCGCTGACATGCGCGTGTAAATATGCGCATGCAAAGTTTACTCATAAATATATCACTCACCGTTGGGACTATCGCTGCGAATGCCATTGCTGGACTCACCATTTTCGGTGGTGCTCGACACATTCGTAGGACTAGAAATGCGCAGCTGGCGGAATTGATAATACGGGGGGACCACATCGATGATCATTGTTTCTTGCTCCCGTTTTCGCAGCAAGGATGGAAGTAAATAATCCGTTTTAGGATAATCATGGTTCATGTAATACGGTCCATGAAACATTTAAACACTTTCACCTTTAACGAGGTGCCCGTATAATTTTTATATTTATATTATTATTATGTGTGACCGCACATTAGCACTTTTGTAACCTTTTCCCTTCGAACGTTCTTTGAGTGATCACAGGTGCAAAAGCCAGAAAAATTTGTTACTTTTCGTCGAAGCGCGTCTCAACAAGTCGATAACGACACAGGACCTTGCGTATAACCAGCCGTCGACTAACCGAGTAACTGTTTATAGACTCTGAATGAGAGCCGGGCGGTTCTCTCTTGCGAGATGATACTTCTCGTTCTCCAATTGGCGAGAGTCGGCTAGTAAAGGTGGTAGGGGACGACCAATCAACGTCCAGCATTCCGTGCGCAACATCGTGGATTTCTCCCACGAGAGAAACGATTCTGCTCGTTCGTACTGCACTTCTGCACTTACGCCTTCTGCACTTGCGGCCATACGTACATATAGGGTGTCTGGCATTCTAAATTGGAGAAATGGCAAATTTTTCATCTAATATTTATTTCGTCGTTAATAGATATTCAACATGTCAGAAATGTCTTTAAACTGTCCTTATTCCGCCGTACATTAATTTGCCAACTTGCTTGAAAGAATAATTATCGTTGTTGTTTGTCAAATGATGAAGGACTTTTTTGCTCAATTCGACAAGTTTGCTTACATCCGTAAGCAAACGTCTTGTATACAGAAAAATCATTTGTATTTTTATATGTGCCAAAATGTACAACTCGATTTGAAGTATTATTTTGCAAATTTAAACTTGCAAAAATGTTTTAAAATATTTCACTCTGAAAAGGCCGCATAAAATCTATTGTAGTCAGTCAGATCCCAACACTTTTTTTTCTTTTTATATCTGCTACTCCTGTCTATTATTTGGAAAAATTTGGGGAAAGTCACGGTAGATATATTATGGACTGTTAAAGCAAAAATTCCGTGATATTTGAAGTGTAAATTAATAAATTTCTAATTAATTTAACAATTAAAATAGGACATCCTGTGTATTACCGAGAAATAAAGATTGAGTTAAGAAATTTATTTAAAGAAAAAAGGCATATCGCATAAGTATAAATTCTTTGCTGAGATTTACTATGACAATAGAAGGTATAGTTGTAAATCGAACTTGAAAACACCTTGTCGGGTAACCCCAGACACATAATGCGGAACGTACATTTTCCTATCGGTTGCACCCTGACATAGGTCTGACACCTATTCTTCTGCCACATTTTCCTTTTAGTACTTTACTTAACCTTGAGACACTTGAGGCAGAGACAAAAAGCGACTGTGGATGTTTTATAACGTTATCCGCAATTAGTTGCGGACCTTTGAGGAAATTTTCGACCATTATGCTCACCGTTTCGTTATCCTTTCTATTTACGTCTGATTGCGCATCATCGCTCGTTAAAAATTCGGGCTCTTTAATCTTGAGCGCAAGAATATTTCGATTTTTTCATGTCATATAAGAGAAACAATTATTTGCGTAATATCACTCCAATCAAACTACTACACAGTAAAAAATAAATCGTTAACTTTCAATATTTTTCGTTTGTCCGCTCAAAATTTTGCGTTAAAGTAACATATTCGTTTGTTACTTCTTAACACTTAAAACTGTTAATTATTTGACACAAACATATTTTGTTTTACATTTGTATATGTTGCTTCAACTTAAAGTATGATTTTAGAATAATACAAGAAATAATTGAAAAATACGTGAAGTTAAAGTAAAAAATATTGCTGGAACATATTTGTCCGTATAGTGTGAACAAAATAAATGTTACATTTTAACATTTTAATTTATGTATTTCTTCGTATTATAGGTTGTCTCGACATAGCCTTGATCTTGCGTTCTTTCTACCGCTCACGACTACGCTTATCTTCTGCGCTACGCAACATTGCTTATATTTTTCATGTTATGTTAACACATGAATAGAATTACTTTAACTTAAATCATTCGTAATGGAAAAACGTTTCAATCTATTTTTAATTCTTTTGATTCTGCAATTTGTTAGGAAATAACCGAAATCTAGGTGATGTGCCACATACCTTTGCAGCCAATTAGCCCTTATATCAAAGGGCCTTTAATGAAATTTACTCCATAAAAATAATATTTCTAATCGATATTGTAATCGTAGTAAGTATAACAAATTTGAACACAGATCTATATCTATAATAGAAAAATCACGTGAAATGTGTATGCAGATTTTTATGGCTATTACGTTTTCTTATCGAGTGATCTAAAAACCCTTTCCATCTTGCGTACTCTTTTCTAGTGCGTTTGATCAATGCCGTACTGATGCATCTCTCTATTGTTAGACTCTGTCAATTTTGCAAACGCTTCCTCCTTCCTTCTCAGATCTTGTATCTAAGTTGCATACGGGGTTTCTCTCTGATAGTTACGTCAGTGTACGCGGTTGCACGCGCGGAAGCGGGCGCGGAGGGACGAAAGATAATTGGCGCGAACAGCTCGCCCAGATGTGGTCGCGATCATGCCGCTGATTAAACGGTTTGATTAAGCGACTAATTTACTTGCATGCGCGCATGTAACGCCACTTTATGCGAAACCCATATCTACTCGATCTGTAGTGCGTGTTCGTGATTCGCAAATCACAGCGGGGGAGAATGACGATGACGGAAAATCAAAACTGATTTGGATGGGCTTGTTGTAAAACATCAAAAACTATTAGACCCTATTAAAACTATTAAGCATATTCTTTTTTGCAGCGTGTCTTAACGTTTAGGGGTTGAAACAATCTCTCGAATAAAGCGAATTTTTTTCATTTTTAGTGAATATCTTCAAAAATATAAGATATGGAAAAATGTTTCCTACAAAAGTTTTATAATATTTTATACTCGTCACAAAAATGTACTTACATTTTTTTTTAAGTCCAATTTATTCTCACTATCACCTATTATTTTTGCAAAATTTAAAAATTTTATAAGGACAAAATTAAAAAGCACTGCGTGTCAAATCTATCTATATATAATAATATTATTATTTCACGATTCAATTTTTGAAAAAGAACGGGATGATAACACATTGTTCTATTCGCATCGCGAATGTTGCTTTATTTCTTTTCAGTTGCATTGTACTCAATAACTGGCTCTTCTGTATATTTTTTAAATGCTAACATGAAGATAGAATAATTCTGACATAATATAAAACATATTGTACGAAATAAAGATGTAAACATGTTTGTATGTGTGTACAACAGTAGCAACGTACGTGAGTGCGGTTTCTCAAGATGAATTAAAATTGAATCGCAATACGTAATATAATAAAATACAGGTACTTTTACCTTCGCAATCGTAGGCGCATGTATTTGTGTGTGTGTGTGTGTGTATGTGTGTGTGTGTGTGTGTGTGTGTGTGTGTGTGTGTGTGTGTGTGTGTACATAACTTGAAGATATAATCTAAAATTTATAATAATTTGATACATTTATGTTGTTTGACTTTACTTTGTAATATGTGTGTAAACGAATTTTAATATTAAAATTTCACCAAATATTATTTTTCATTTATATTGTTAGAATATATATATATATATATATATAAATTGATCTTTAATTTCGTCTAATGATTCTAATTTCTAATGGACATGACACTGTATATACAGCACTTCGGATGATATATGACTTCTTTTCCCTTCATGTATCCTCATCACTTAAAGCTATGCGGAAAAATTGATGCACACATACGATGCTACGAATAGATACGGTCACGACACAATATCTCACAATATCTCTGCGGCGATATGTGATTTATTTAACACACGCGACGTAGCGTGCGATTTGGCAAATTATCGGCGAATATCCGGAAATTAGCGTACGGCACGCCCGACGGAAGGGTTTGTCAAGCCAACGAGACACGGCTTTACAGGCATCCAATGGCTTTTCCGTCCGGCACGATGGGCGAAATGTGTAAATAGCGAACATCCGAAAGAGTTATATAAAGTCCTTTAACGATAAATTTGTCAAATTAGTGGCGTTCAAACTCAGGTCCGTAGAGTCAGTAAGTATGAGTGTATATACTATAGTTTTCTACGTTCTATTACAAACAAATGAAAAGGAAAAGAAAGATAAATACCAAGTGCCCCTTCCCTACACTTGAATGAAACTATGCAAAACAAAGATAAATTTAAAAACGTTAGAATGAAACATCATTTATTATTATTTATCCTAAATTCGCAATGAATGATCGTATCGTATGATAACGAGTTTCTTTCCCGCGCTAACTTTAGATCGCGTGAATGCGGCATAATAGAAGCCAATCAAACGAGCTAAAAAAGATAAAAACTAGGATATGGTCGTCATGTGGATATACTTGAGTCTCATTGAGAAGACGCGCCTCGGTGTTTCTTTATCCCCGGCCACTCGCAGCTACTTGGCGAGAACTCGAGAAGACTTTCAAGCGCGTTCGATGATTTCACAAGTCTAAGCGAGAGAGAAGGAGTGAGGTGTAGGAAGGGGGAGGAAAAGAAAGAGAGAAAAAGACGACACCAGTCCTGCTGTGTAAATTCGTGAACGCTGAGGTCGTAAAGACGTAGTCGCCGCCATTGTTGTGTCGACATTTTTAGGATCGCATTAGCGTGTGTGCCACCGTGCGATCAACCCGCTGTTTTTTTTCTGTCGCACTGATGCCGAGCGGCGAGATAAAAGATTCTTTTTTTCTTCTTTCCTCTTCCCCTCCCCTTTGTCCCCTTCCTTCCATTTTGTTTTTAGTTAGTTTTTATTTTTTATTTAATTTGTTTTGTGCGTGCTTATTTTCTTCCTATCGTTATATAACGATTTAAATTACATTTTCGCGTTGTAATCACATTTATTTTTACTCTTGTTCTTTTATTCTCACTTTTTCCTTTATTTTTATTTCTTCATTCTTACGTTTCTCATTACTTTTATCTATTTTATTCTTAGATTTTCCGTAGACTTCTTTCCACGTTTCCCACGTTCCCCTTCCATCATATATCCTTGTATGAAAGACGTATTATTATTATTTTTACAGAT